TTGAAAAAGGAGGGGGAACTCACCAAGTGGAGAGACAGGCGTACTCCTGAGCGTGCGGACCGACACATGATTAATAACGACGAATATGCCTCAGCGAGGGGGGGGTAAGCTATGAACCTTATGACTTGTGATTGACTTTTGGCACGTTTGATCCTCCTTCTAGGCTCAGGCTCAGTGCCATTGCGTTTGAAAGACGCCGCGCCGCCGCGTGGTCCCCCCCCCCCACTCACCTACCATCGGAATCTCCCCCTCCCCCCCCACTGACTTAGCATCGAAATAATTGGTTTGAGTGCACGCACTCATGGTTATCATAATTAAGCCTCCCCTGTATTTGACTATGACCGATTGAGTCACTAAAAACCGTCGCAAGAAAGGAAGGCCGACAGAAATAGACACTAGCCTCTTACTCGAGCTCCCATCAATCATCGAGAGATATAATAGTAGGACCCAAAAAGGACTACAAGGACAATTGGCATGAGCAACAATGAAAGTGTCCAGGATTGGAGATTTTTTAAGTGAATGGAATGGTGTCCTCTTATAAAGGAGATGGATGATGTGATGACGATATTCAGACTATTTCAGAGTACCACTAAAGGAAAAGACCGAAATCCGCTTCGAGGAGCAACCTTTCGTGTCCATTATCACTCCGTTGACATTTTCTCCGGTAACACAACAAGGCCACCTACAGCTAAGAGGTAGGCAGGTAACTAGTGAGCGGGAGCTGAAGCCTCAAAACTGCACCTCAGCCAATAATGATGACTGCACTGCCATGTGAGTTCAACCGTCTCATCATATGGAGCGCGCTTCCCCATAAATCCGCTCTTTTGCAGACTCAAAGACTTTTACCTCAGTGTGACGGTACTGAAATCGTCACTAGTGAACGCCCTGGTGATGATAGTTGGATGGGCGTACTTCACAGCATGGAGTGTCTCCTTCTATCCGCAAATAATTTTGAACTATCAGCGGAAAAGGTTTGCGATTGTGCCGGCTGGTTCTACAGTAACAGTCAAGAGATCAAGCTTTTTGCAGCGTTGTCGGCCTTAATTTCGACTTCTTGGTCCTAAACATTCAAGGATTCGCGGCGTACTCGGCTTATAACCTTTTCGTTTACTTCGATAAAAATGTACAGGTGGGTTTTACGATAATATCCTCTGAATATAACTCTGCTTGGCAAAGGGAGCGCTACCAGTTTAGCGAAATTGGAATTGTTATCGCATAGCGAGGATTGTTCATATCTGTCGTTTTTGAAATAATTTTCTACACTCTAAACAATATAATCGTTAAAAAAACTATTATTGAGCAAAAATGGGGTGGCGAACGACAAAATACCTGATATTCACAAAACAAAAAGCCTGAGATCGGACTTATAACCTTGATGCACCATTGGTTTTGCGGGTAAAAAATTGTTTACGATCATCACATGGGGCTCCCTCTCAGAGCTTAGAGCAGTAGGCTAAGTATTATCAGGGGGCATAGGGAGTGAAGAGCGCATTTTCATTTATTTAAGATTCACAGTAGCCATCATACGTGGACGGCATCAGAAAAGTTCGCCCCGAAACATGGTGCTCTGGTCGAGCTCAGTGGGGTTCTCGACTGATCGTGTACCGTTACGACGGGTTCCGAAGGGCGGGTTCCGAGGGGTTTGCATAGTTAGAGCTAATGTCCCTAGGAAACTATCCCACAATCGATCCAAGAAATTATGTAAGAGCTTCAGGCTGAAGCAGTTACTGTAGGCCTCCCTGAGCTCGACGACGGTGACAGATGACGTCATATTCTGAAGACGGTGAGGGTAGTGAAGGAGGGCCTGCGTGTACTTATGGGACATTTAGGGAATATTTTGCTGAGGAACTCCGTCAACTACGGCCTGGGCAAAATGTCTTTCCCCCCCCCCCCTGTATGTGGTTTGGCCTATACAATGAACTCGAGAATATCCAACGTGTGAGGAAGTTTTATCTCCCTCATACCAGTCCGGCGCAAATTCATCGGCTCCAGTCTATCCCAATGGAATATCCCAATAATAACTGACTGGCGTGAGTTTGATTCGACACGTCATATGGTCCTCGGACCTCGTGACCACTTCGCTCTCGCACAAATAAGCTTGAAGAGAGCGCTGGAAAGCTTTTCGTGCTACGGCCATGCCAATAGTAAACTGCTCTCGTAGTCATACAGTACTAGCAGTAAAACTTTAAAAAATTCAGGCGAAAAACGCGATTTCGCGTTTTTTTCGTTTTTCTGTTATAACTCGGTTCAAAATTGAGCATTTCAATATCCGAAAACGCTGTTGAGTTCATCGTTGAGTTCTATGAGAAAGTGCTCCTTACTTCTCTAGAAGCACCATCTTGTATTGCGCTACTTCCTAATGTGATCATGGATGGGGGTGAGCATGCGATCGCGGAGCGCTCAGTGATGCAAAACGCTTTGCTAGATTAAAGTGAAGCATGCAGGTTTGGCTGCAGTGACAATGAAGCCTACGGTGGGGAAATCCCGAATTGAACTCGGAGAACAGTTTGCCGGCGCTGCAACGTGCCCTTGTAAATTATGAAGGTGGTCATCACTGCGAATGGCGTAGGATGTTGAAAATTGTAAAAACTGCGAACCAGGGGGACTATACCAATCGCCTTGTTTGACGACTATTCCACAACATTTAAGGTAGGAGTTACAATAAATTTGTGATCGAAGAAGGGAAAATGTCTGCTCTATTAAGCAATTTGCGACCGTTCTCGTTTTTCGTATTTCCGTTCCGACCAGGGCGGTTTGATACGTTCGCAGAATGTCAGCCAACGGTGGCCGACACTATCCCTCTTGACCTTTTTACCCGTGGGGTAGATTGCAATGATCACGAATATGACACTATTACATCGACATGGCGCAACATCTGTTTTTACCAAATTAACTGAAAATTTGCACTCAAGGGAAATTCAACATCCTGACTACGAAGATAATATTTGATTTTGGCGCGAGCGAAGGAATTAGTGCTCGTCGGTACAAGCTACAAATTGGCGCTAGTTGGCGCCAGTGCCAAAAAGTGAACATCACATTCTCGATTAAGACTCTAAATAGCCCCCCCCCCTATGCAAGATTCAATGAATCTGGAAAAAACAGGTGTTGTGTTTGTCAGCCTGCCTGTTTGTCATGTCTAGCAAGGGACGTCTTCCAGGACATGGAGCGCTTTTCCAAATGACTTCCTGCATGTTGTAGGCTCACTCCGGGACACTAACCATGATCCATTTTTCCTGAACGCCTCTAGGAACCTCGACGGTGGTGAAGAAACGGTCCAGAGTTCTATCCCCGGTGATGAATGAATTTTGCCATAAAGTTTGGCGCCACAGACTGCCGCGAAATGGCACCATCGTCAAACGTAGATGCCATTACCGTGTTTTGCGGCAATTTGGAGGCGTCAACATGAATTACAAAAATTTTGCCATCACGGAGGGTCCAACTTTGGATTATTTCCCCGCTGTTTCACAATCATGGGCGTTTCAGGAAAGAATGGACCAATATTTTGTGTTTCTCACAATGAGCTAATTAACATTCAACAAAACCATTTTGAAAGGATCCTCCTTGCGAAAACCCCCTTTGTAAGTAGCTCGCGCGCATTTCCGAGGCCTCAACCTGACATGATGTCATCATTCGTGATCACGGAATCATGATCCCTTCAAGAGAAAGTTCCTGGAAAATTCGTTTTCGACAATTTACCTATATAGGTACATTTTCGCAAGTCTAATCAATTGATTCTTACATCGAACTGAAGTGACAAATCCCACGCTCATATAATGCCAGATTTATGCCCTGTTGAAGTTCATGTCCATCAAGAAAAATTTCAGAAAAGACATAGATATGCTCAATAAATGTTAAATTCAACAACTTCGTTCAACCAGCGAAGTGCTCACATTTGAGGGCGCATTGGTTTAGAAAGCCGGTAACAGACTTCGCTAATCGAGCGATTCGCAAAGTGTGACATTGGCCAAAGGCAGGTCCTCTACCGAGCAGGCGCGATGAATTCCCCCCGCGCCTGACGGTTGACGTTCTTCCCCCCCCCCAAGTCCTCTCTGTCAGATTCTGTCCTCGGCTGCTGAGCTTTCCTACATAGAGGCATGAGCACAGTATTCACTTTGGTGACATCAGCAGCGATGAAACTCGTCCAAACGCGAAAGCTAATGGGAAACAAGTGTTTTGTTCTTACGGGTTTTAGCCACTTCTGTAAATTTTTCATTCGAACATCACTTCTTATGGTTAGTGACCTTACTTTTCACTCCCTACGAGCAACGAACTTATCGAGATACCTGTATTCAACTTTCGCCATCCTAATTTGACTCATTCATCAGAATAGGGTTTATAGTGACATATTAGACGTAGACGGTAGGGTACCCGACAAGAGGCCCGTCGCGCGGCAAGAAGGCAGAGTCAGCGGACGAGTCGCAGCGCGTGATGTGCGATGTAGGACGTACAATGGTACATTCTATTTAACTTGACGCGAAATCCTACAGTACGCGCTGCGACTCGTCCGCTGACTCTGCCTTGCTGCGCGACGGGCCTCCTGTCGGGACAGCATGTTCCCACTGCAATTTTGACCTATTCAGTTTCTTTGTTGTGTTCCATAATTTTCTCTGATCTAGATCATTACAGTGGATTACAACTGTTTCATCAATGGATTATGATTTGAGCCTTTTCACCACACAGGTGGCCCTGACTCCTAAACGACCAGCCTTTTATTTCAGAGAATATACGAGGAGACGCATCCGCACAGTCCGATTCCAGTATTGATCAACGACGTCTTCTTCGCCACACACGCATTCTTAGCTTGCATTTTCACCGTCTATCAGTGTTTCATTTATGAGGTCAGGCTCGATTATCCACTGACTTTGACGTAAGCAAACCAGCCCTTTTGGCGCTTCGGCTGGGACCGTATGCTGAATGTTGGGGAGGGGATGGAGTCCCCGACGGTGGACGGACCACTTCAACTCGGTCCTTAGAACCGCCACAATTTGGTGCTTACCTCAGAACTAAGCCTTAAAGAGAGGACGGGTCCGTCCCCTCTCCAAGGCTTAGTCCTGGGGTGAGCAAACCAGCCCTTCTGGCGGAGCTGCTGGACCAGCTGCACCACTTGCGTCAGTACTCTCCTATCGTACCAACCGAGTTGAAGTAAACCGTCGACCGTTGGGGACCCCATCCCCTCCCCAACATTCAGCATACGGTCCCAGCCGAAACGCCAAAAGGGCTGGTTTGCTTACCTCACTGACTTTGATGGTTTAGCAAGTTTGTGAATTTTAGCGCGGAACTCAACGTGTCTCGTACATTTGCATGTCCATCACAGCTTTCATGATCACGGCCGCCATTGCGTCCGGCATTGCTACCTCGTTCGGCTACCTCAACATGCTACAGTTTGTCACCGGCTTATCATACATTAAAATGGCCGTAACACTATTCAAGTATATCCCACAGGTAAGGCGGCCATGCATCAGGTGTTTTTTTTATGGGGAAGAAGAATGATCTGCACAATACCGAACTCCCGATATACCAGAAGATTAATAGTTTGTGGTTGTGCATTGTATAATAGGACCCTTAATTACAGCTATGGATTCAAAAAATACATAAAATGAATTTTAGGTTTAAATTTTTCCATGTATACCTTCAAGGCACACTACGCGAACAGATCATTAGGCTAATCTATCCCACGAATGAGATTCCTAGGGTTAGAGGTCACGTTCGCGACGCAAAACCGGCATTTAGGAAGGGTTTTAACGGCTCATAACTTGCAACCTCCAACACCTCAAGCAACCAGACATGCCCACCGTTGCGCTACCTTCGTCTCGCTTCCCTCCATGCTGCCTCTCGCCTCTGTCCGCCATTTTCTCACTTCTTCACTTAGCGTTATAGAGTGTTTGTCTCCTATACTCCCCGACAATAAGCCCAAAAAGAATTGCTTGATTTGAGGAGTTTTCAATAGTATCTCTCCGTTTTTTCTCCCTTGACTAGTGAATTGGTACCTACTGTTTTATATCTCAACCATGAACTTTTGACCCATTTAGTGCTACTGCGAAGGGCACGCCGCTCAGAGAATATGCCCCAGCTAGGCCGCTGGGGCATATTCTTCGCTGCGAAACACGCATCGTCTCGGAGCCTTGCGGAGCCCGCCTGCCTTCCTTTCTTCCACCCCCCCCCTCCTCCTCCCCCAACTTGAAGGAATCCTCCCTTAAGGCGGATAGTTTGAGCCAGCTACTTCTAGAACGATTGATAAATAATTCCACAAAAGCTACTTTCCTAGCTCATTCTTTCTTTGCAGGCTCTACTCAACTTCCGAAGAAAAAGCACCGTCGGCTGGTCTATTGGCAACGTTCTCCTTGACTTCACTGGAGGTTGTCTCGATATTCTTCAAATGGTTTTGCAGTGCTGGAATGTGTCCGAATGGTCAGCATTCTATGGAAATCCCGTAAAATTCGGTCTGGGTCTTGTCTCAACAATGTTCGACATTCTCTTCATCATCCAACACTACGTTCTCTATCCACACAAGACGTCGCAGTCACGAACAGATCCTGAGAAGAGTGACCGACAGGAGGATGAGCGGCAGGTCAGAGACGGAAAAGCTGAGCAGAAGTGGACGAGATTCCGCATCAAAAGCACAGGAAAAGAGTAGCACCAGCCAACATACCGGCGAGAGCTAGGTTCTCACAAAGGAAACTCTACATATCTTCTTCGCTGATATTGTTGAATAAAAATCACTTTAAAGCTCAATCAGTACGGTAGTGACTAGATTTCATCTCATTCTCTATAAACTTGTAGGCTCAAATTTACAGTACTTTTTTCAAAGCTTTAAAGACTTTTAGGTATAACGACCACTCATCACTTACTTTAATTCCAAGTTACAATTCCGTTGAAGTGTTCAAATTATTTATTGCCATTAATCGATAGTAATAAGGAGGGCAATAAACGTGACAAACTGCCATTGTGTTACAACAAAAAAAAATCAACAATATTCGCGAACAAATTCCCCCAACTACCTTGAGATACAGACTGCCAACACACCGGTAATAAATAGACTCTTAGTCTACGCATCAAGCGTCCACCATGAGCCGTGGAGCAATTGACATCGACATCAGCTCTTGGAACAATAGCTTGCAAGCATACGGTATCCGAACAGCCGACACCTGCGTCTTGTTACGACAAGCCTGAAGTATCTAATTAGTACTGGAAAATAACATCGTGACAGACAAATATAATACCTTGCATTCGAAGCTTGCTTCGTTCGGAGGTTTGCAACAACAATAAGACCACAATTGTTAGCAAATGTACACATGGTACGGGTCAGACACTTCGAAGAGACGTTCCCGAAGGAATTGCGCTGCTCCATGGGAGATCTGACAATCGCGCTCCATCTCACCAAAACGCAAACCGCCATCCCTGGAAAATAATTACATACTGATACGGTTTATTCCATCTCACCCATAAATCACTGGCTTTGGGAACCATCGTTCACGATAAGAAGGAAAAGAACAAAAAGATTGCGTTTGCTTTGGCAAACAATTCGAAAAACCGGAAGGGCTGACACACGTTCAAATTGCCGCCGGACATTTGTCTTAAAGGCAAAGGTCGGGATTAGTTGACCAAACCAACCCTTTCGGTCATGCCTGTACTTGGTTACGCACCCGTAGAGATGTTCCCACACTCAAAACCCGAAATGGCGCAGTAATAAGGCCCCAGGGCATGTACTATGCGCCGCCTGGCCCCGCTACGACCGCCCACCTTGGGATGTGGTGCATGGCTGGCATAACGTGTGAAATCAGCTAGGTTGATTGCCGTATCAACCGATAGAACGACTGATATCTTCAGAAAACTTGTTTGTACGTGCCTCTTCCCAAGCCAGCCTCCTTCACTGCTAGTGGGAAAGAGGGTTTTGTTAACGGCCTTGTCGACGGTTTTTCTCAGTTTTTTCTCCACTGTCGTTCCTACTTCGCATCTCTATACTCAGTTTCAATCGCCATAATACCCCTTATTGAGCCCGACTTTTGCCTTTAAATGTGGGGCGGTACATGCTTCTTGGTCACGGAGTACTGTCACTTAGGATTTCTTTCTGGCATTTTTTGACTTGTTGCATCAACATCTCACACTTTTACTTCGTCCTATTCTATCGATTGAGTCGTCTCTACTCTTCAAAACGGCACGCCTTCACCCGACCAATGCGCCGCCTGATCTGTAGCCGCCCAAGGCACCGCCTCTTGTCGCACCCACACCTTTGCGCGCCGCGTCTAGAGCCGACGCGTGGCCATAGGTGTGGTTTTCGTGAGGATGCCTTCTCTTCGGAAACCGAATCATCGTGGGGAAACTTTGTGTGTTGTCTCTAGTGATCACAATTGACACATCTACGCTGAGAAAGAATGTAAGAATTTTCCAGGAAAGCTTCCTTTAAACTGGTCAAGTTGAACAAAATGAAAAAAAAAATCTAAATTAAAGAATAGGTGAAAACGACCAGGTAAGTCTATAATCTTTCAAGAGGTGAATGGTTCAGTGATAGATCAGCAACTCCGCTGATATTCGAAAGACTGTCAGGATTTTGAATTACAGTACTTTAGTCCCTCGATATGGGCATATCAATGTTTTTCTCTATAATTTCATCCCAACTCTATTTCAGTTTTATAGCCACAGCCTCATTCTGATTTCCAGAATTCTCACATTTCCATGATTTCCTCCGAAAAGCGCTGTCAATTCATGAAAGCTCCGGCTACTATGACAATTTTTAATTAAAAAATCTCCCACGATAAGTGTGTGCAAGAAATATGAATACCTCACAAACGTGCACCATATGACAACAGAACAAAAATAACAATAAAACCACAGGTCAGTGGATTTTGCGAATAATCCTACCTCGCTCGACCCTCCATAGGCTGCCTATTCATCATCTGAATTGGTCCCCTGGCACGTGAATGGATCTTATCGTCTACCATGTGTTTCAGGCGTTGATAATATGTTGGTCCAAAGAAAATCTGAAGAAATTGGAGAGTATACAGTTCTCTGCAAATGTATTCAGAAACTGAAGACGATACAAACCTGTGTAGTGAGTTTTGTCCCTGTATGTCCATTATACATCACTTCGTTTCCTCTTAAATGATACCCGTATTCTTGCAATAAGTTACTGATTTTCTGCACGTTTACAGTATCGTTGAAAGGAGTCGCGTCACCAATTTCGCCCTTGTTTGCTGACAGCTAAACGACAAAGTTTGAGAAGGGAAATACAGAACACTAAAGTCGGTAAACCACAACAAACCTTGCCCTGCAGACATTCGATTAAATGGCCAATCGTCATACGAGATGGTACAGCGTGTGGGTTAATGATGATATCAGGCGTTAGTCCTTCACAGGTGAATGGCATATCTTCCTGGAAAACAGAAAATTCGGTAAGTTCGAAAAGAATTAGGAGGGCATTGTGTAGGTGAAATAAAGTTAGTGAGTACTGATAAAGTGCAGGGAGTAGACGAATTACGCCTCCAATGCTAGGTGAATTTGAGTATGTATTTGATCTACGGGAATAGTATTCTCTGTGTTTAACTATTTTCGCAAACATATTCTGTCTAACTATCTACAAAAGAATTAGCCACCGGAGCATCATGCGGTGAATGCACCAACCTTGCAAAATCGAAACTACTATGATCATTTTTCAAATGAATTGGCATTAAAAACTAGGAACTTGTTCATTAAAGAGTAGCTACTCAATATCAAATTCCCGCTTCCTAGGCACTAGCAAACCTACATTCAAAATTTATGACATGACATTATAGAATAAAGAAATTTTACTGTTAAAATACGATAGCCTGTCCTATACATAATAACCCATGCGTACTCCTTTTTGGCCATTGCCGTTGATGCAAACTGTGTCACGATTGTGGCACTCACTGAACGCACACGATATTTTCAACAATTTATTACATCAGTGTTAAGGGAGGACCATGACTCTGGACGAACAGTATTTAAAAAAAGTAAGGGTTAATATTAAAATATAAGGACCAGATAGTACCTGGTCAATAATTCCGGTCTCAGAACTGCGAAGAAATGTTGATGCATCGCGTTTCGTGTACTTCTTACTGCTTGCATCCAATCGTCGTCCTGAAATACTTGCCAAATTCACGCAGACCATGAATGCTTGATGTACTACAGAGGCCTCTCGAATCTAAACTCACAACTGAAGAAGACCAGGGGCGGTTTTGCCGATAATGACGTCGTCGCCAGAAACACGCATTCCAGGCGAAATAATTCCATCGTCATCAAGCTGTAAGTGAGCAACAGTACTTCCAATATAAGGTTACGAGAGTATGACGAAATACCTTGTCATAAAGAGAATGCCGCATTCCGGAACATTTGTCTCGAGTCGGCTTCTCAATTAGCTCCTCATTGGCACCATCCAAGGTTTGCCTCCTGGTCTCGGTAGGACCGGTAGAAAACCTGTAGGGTACCTACGCTTACGAGATAACATAGACGACCTAGCAACCACTAACCGATCTGAATAAGCCTCTGTCTATCGCAGATTGATTCATAATCACAGAGTCTTCTTGGATTGTAGCCGGAATAAGAAAGAATGGCAACAATGGCATTGATACCAGCAGGTAGTTCATTGAATCTGGGATGATGGGATTAGCCCGCTAATTCTTTGGCTGAAACAAGATTATTTCAGTTCGTTCACCTTACCTTAGATATTCCATGGATCTTGTGGTAACAAGAGGTTTCTGAGGATAGTAGAGAACATGCGCGAGCGTGTCCATTCGTACATGGAAATTTGTTGTATATACACCCATAGCTTGTTTACCCATAGCACTCTGAAAGAAAAGACTTCGCATAGTAAACAGTGCTCCAACCAAAATGATGGGACTATGAAATGCACTTACCTGATAAGTGTTTCTTGGACTTTGATTGTGGTCAGGGAATGGAATAATAGACGCGCATACGCCAAGAATCATTGCTGGATGAATTTCACAATGAGTATACGTGTCGCAGTAACCTCCAGCCTTCAGATCTTCAGGCATCATTGCAAGCATGACCGTCTCTACAAAATTGGGTTGGTCTTATACAGCTGACTGCTTCTTACAATAGTCATACGACAACAATGAATGCGAACCTTCTTCCATTGCGTCGATCAATTCAACAACGCCACCACCTACAAGATCAGACCAGCTGTAATTGCTGCCAGATTCCCTTTCCTAAAAAACTTGGAGTAACCTTAGAAAGGACTTCAACCGCAAGTCAGATTGGGCTTTGCTTTCAGAAAAACAGCCCACAATGTAGCACTCATCCTACCTTTAGTTTGTCGATATGACGCTTTTTCAAAGCTAATTTTTGTTTTTCGACGATGAGAAGTGGTCGACAGACTCGCCCAGCGTCTGTATAAATACGTATTTCTCGATCTCGTATGTCTCGAACCATCGACACCTGAAGTAAGACAAATGATTTTAAGCAAGCTTTCAACCCAAGGCACTAGAAACCAACTTCCGATACGATAATGTCCATCTGCCTACGAAGTTTCTTCAAAGTGGTCATAAGATGCTCTGGATCACGATGAATCCCTACCCAGGCACCATTCACGAAGATTTTCGTCGCATCAGCGATAGAAGAAGGTGCTACTTCTGAATAATGAAGGAACTAATCATCTCATATTCTGTGCAACAATTAAAAGGCGAAGCAATTGAAGTAAAAAAGAGTGGGATGCATTCCGAGGTGCATCTGCCTTCAAAAATATGAACTTCAGCAGTTTCTCTTTGCTTTTGATAAATGGCCATTTCCTTTTGAAAATGAAATACCTTCAAGATTTTCCATTGACCATTCTTCGAGGAACTCCAGAATTGGCTCAGGTAATGAACCGACAGAAATGTAAGCCATTAGCGCAAGGTTTTTCACCAAACCTACCGCTTGACCTTCGGGAGTCTCAGCAGGGCATACCTAAATGAGAAATGATACGGATGTTATAAATTCATTTTCATTTGCCGTGATCAAGTCTGAAAATACTAACCATTCCCCATTGTGTATTATGAAGTTGTCGAGGTTTGGCGAGTTTTCCTTCCCTTCCAATAGGGGAATTAGCTCTACGCAAGTGGGAAAGTGTGGCTGTGTAGGTAAGTCGATTCAACACCTGCAAATTACCATGCACTAATGCTGATATGGAAATTCAAACAGCCTCCTGGGAAAAATGTGTTAGTTCAAATGAGTAAAAACCTGCGATACACCGGCTCGAGACTGATGCGCCTTCTTTTGGTCACCCCAGTTACCGGTAGCGAGTGAATAAGCGAGTCCTCGAGTTATAGTTGACGTTTTTACACAGACGTCAAGTGAGAAGTCACCATTTTTGTTGATGTATTTTTGTGCTGTGAGTCGCATCTGGAAAGAAAGTGGCGCTGAAACGTCAGATAAATACAACAAGTAACAAAAAAGGATCACTTACTTCCTTTAAAAGATTTCTGAACAACGCTCGGAACAAAAATGCTAAAAGAGGACCGGCAAGGTCAAGGCGCTTATTGCCAATGTGATCACGATCGTCGAGCTCTCGGCGACCCAACGCTGCTAGGAGCAGACGATGAACCATGTAGCCAATGAAATACTGAACAGCAAAGAAGTGGTCGACGACAATAAAGTTTGAAGATAATCAGGAAAATAAACGAACCGCTTTCTTTGTTTCACAGAAATCCGACACTCCCACATGAGGAAGCAGCTCCTTCTGCAGAATTTCTTTTGCATATTTGATACGTTGCTCTTTCGTCACTCCAGGCTTTGCTCCACGAGCTCCAATGAAATTAAGGGCGACATTTTGTTCCTGAACACTCAACCAGACAATGTAGAAATGGGTTCGCAAAAAAACTGATCGCAAAATTCTTGTTCATTAAATCGCAATGTAATTCGAAAAGCAAATATCATGAGAATCGCAAAAAACATACCACCCACAAATTGCCTTCAATCCTCCCCCTCCCCCGTTATTTATTTACCTATCAGGGGTGCAGAAAGATTTTCTCATGATTCCTCGCCCTGACTAACCATTCTTTGAAAGAGTTCTTCAAGAGTGTCTTCAAAACATATTGCAGAAACATCGGATTACTCCTGATTCACTGCGCAGTTCTTAGAAGAGGACTTAATCACGGCTCTCAAATCGCCATGAAGCCTATATGTAAGCCAACAAAGGTTTTCGAACAAGTTATTCAAGAATTCAGGCTAAAACTGTCTCCAACTTTATCAGCTACCTAACTCCAAATGTGTTCCTGTTTGTAGCAATTTTCCTCGCTTAATATGTAGAACTTCAAAAAAATCACACAATTATTCTGTGTCAACCGCAGTATGCCCCTGATATGGGGATAAAAAAACGATCATCTAATACTTCACATAAATTCTTACCTGGATGACGAAAGCTTCATCCAACGATGGTTTCACCATTTCCATCATTTCTGGGTCTTCAAAGTCATAGATTATGTGCTCAAGGATATCACGATCCGAGACAAATCCGAGTGCACGAAATACTATCATGACCGGAATCTCCTGAAAGAATCAGTAAGATTCATGTGTAAAATTCATTTTTTTACCAAAGGAGAAAATCCTGATCACTCTGAGGTTCGAGTACCTGCTTAATGTAAGGAAGAATGGCTATAATACGTTGACCCATAGCCGTCTTTTTAGCACCTCCTCCACTGCGGAGCCATCATGTTCACCCACATGGTTGACGTAGGGCGACTAAAAACAGGCTTTGATCCAGCTTGGAAAAACTGAGATTTAAGCACAACGATAGAACTCCGACCTTGAATTTTCGAGGCACGATCTGCACTCCGTCTTGAAGGCGTATTTTCCATCTTTCATTGAGAACACGTACACCGTATTTGTTGCCATCTTTTCTTGGGCAATAAGTACCTGAATGAAGATTATTGCGGACGATGCAGAAATCGGTGGAGGTACATACATTTCTGTTGTGACAAATTTCTTTACGGATGACACATAAAACAAAATATGTCGATGCATTGGGCTGGCAAATATTGGGCCACAATAAGTACTAATGTACAATGACGCTCATATACGAAATGCTAGCATAGCCAAGTGATTATTGAAGTGCTTCATTCAAAGAAAAAATTACCTTTTCGGAACCGTTGATGACAAAATAGCCTCCAGGGTCGAGAGGGCATTCATTCAACTCAGTGAGATCTCGGTCAGACATGTTTGAGAGCATACAGTAACTTGATCTGAAACGACGAGGCAATAAAACAAGCTGCTAAGAAAACTGAAAATGATCATGGTAGTACCTCAGCATAATGGGAATTTTTCCAACGAAGACCTTTTCATATTTTCTTTCGGTCACTTCATCATCTCTCTGGATTTGTTTTGTGATATCCACATAGAGAGGAGAAGAATACGTAAGATTCCGCAATCGTGCCTGAAGTATTGTGTCGTTTTTGGGATCTTGTTGAAGTTCAAGTGTTTGAGCAGCAGGAGGATCGCAAATTATCAAAGGTAAATCCACCACCTCGTTGGGCATCATCGGTGTTGGTGCTCCATCTTTCTCCCAATGGGTTGGCTTGGACAAGTAGATCTGGTCGAACTTCAGAGAGAGAATTTCGTCGGATTCTCGATGTCTCCTAAAATTGAATTCGATATATTCCAGTACATTACCATTCGCTAGGACCGATGTTTGCGCACATCGCATGTGTGAACAGTGCGCTATCTTATCTATCACTAAATAACACAAGATCGCAAAGTAAGCCCGACAATTGAGGGATACGCCGACATTATCCTATAACCCACCCGAAAAGTGCTGCACCTCAGCTTGCAGTTCCACAGGAGGCGAATCTTCCACGATTCGCTGCACGTTCATTTGGATAAATTCGTCAAATGAGTCAAGTTGTTGACGTACAAGACCTTTCTCATCGAAATATGCACTGATCACGACCCAGCACGCCTCCTAAATAGTCACAATTACCAAATGCTACCACTCAAGATTAATGCTCGTACCTGCCACTGCTCGCTTGATATTTCCTCATTGTCTTCCTCGTCTACTTCCTGATCACCTCCTTCTCCACCATAAGGCATATCATCATCGTCGTCTTCATACATTGCTTACCCCTTTAGAAACAAAATTACAAGAATTAGTCATAAACTATGAAAAAGCATTTCTCATTTAACTGTTGAGGTATAGAAATGTAACAACATCAGAATCACCCACACGAACGCATAAAAACCATAACATTTATGCAGAGTTCGAAAATACAATTAAAATCTACACCAATCTAATTTTTGGACAAACTATACATTCAATTTGGCAAGTCAATACCCTATCAATATTCCAGACTAGAGAGTAATAAGAGTGAAATAATAAAGAATGAAAGTACAAGTCAACTGAGATAACAAGTCGCTCACAACCAGTACCATACTTAAAGCTTTTTCGAATTTATCACCTTGTGATTTGGGAATGACGGGCGAAGAAAGTGAGAACTTGATTTCAGAAAAGATAACGAGATGAAATAGATACTCTTAAAACTAAACGAATCTTCACGAAAGGAAAGTTCAGCAGGGGGACTACAACTGAGCATTTTGTACCAAAAAGCTTTGCGATGTTAGTGATAAGCAGTTAAGAGCAACATAACAAACGTTTTCAACTCTTGAGCTTACAAGCCAATCAAAGCGATCCAAATTGGTAGGAAAAATATTTTCATGTTGCTCCAAGCTAGAAAAAAGCTACTAATGCAAAACCTAATTTATATACTCAAAAACCAGCAGGAGAATCAGAGGAGAAAGGATAGTAACAGCATGAAGCAACTAGACAGGAGACATACATTTCACGCTTGCTTCCACAAACGGCTCCACAATACTGAAAAGTAAGAAACAGGGATGCTCACTGTGCAGCTTTCACAGCACATAGAGTGGATGTTTTTCTTGCGCCTTCAAAAAAGGTGTCTTAAGAAGCGATCCATAACGATAAACACGTTTCAGTAAGCCATAACTATTTTTCTGAACAGGAAACACGGCAGCCAATTATCAGTGGTTAGTAAGCCAGCAACAATAAAAAAATGTTCTACTGATCGATGAGTTGATAACTGCAAAACATAGGAATGCACAAAAGTTTTGGGAAAGAGATGGCAATGTCTGTATTTCTAACAGTAGCAGTAACAAAAGGTGAGTCGAATAACTCCTCTGAAAGTGAAATATTGCGGCGAAATGAATCAACCAGCAATGGGAGGTCCTAAATAAACCATAGAGACCTCCGTATTACCATACACGGCACAAATTGCTGGAAAAAGCTTGACAGGTGGTAAATCCATGAAGGCTAGCCCCAGAAATTCGGCTCCTGCACGTTCAAAATAAACGAAATGACGGTCGCAGTCCAGTACGAGTCGAACTCTTTCCCCAACCTTAATGAGAGCTCTTAGACAGTTGCCATAAGTAGACCTAACCAAAACACAATCAACAACACGAACTAAAGGCAGTAATTCTCTTAAGTCCTCCAAAAACACTACTCTGATTGAATAAGCAATGAAACTATACATTACCTGATATTTAGGAGGATTATTCGATCGTGGATAGACGCCTAATTGCTCGCCGTTGTGAATTAGGGTATTATCGACAAGATTCCATCCCCAACTTTGGTCATCACTTCCAAGTAGGGGCAAATATCCTGGACAATGAAGAGCAGCGTGCCTAGAGAAAAGGAAGAGGTGAAAGCTTATCGAGCTAAACAGTCAAAGTATATCACCTTGTGGCAACTCCTACCACAGCCACAGTTCCGAGTGGACCTTCCCATGTGATATCGAAGGCATGAACACCTTGCGACACACCAATCTGATAAAAGCTTTAGATGAGAAAAAGTTCAGGAATATTGTAAGATGAAGACCACAAGAGCTTACCTTCCCCCGAATTCCATCGGTACTCTGTGCTACTGGCTGACGGTGGACCGTGAAACCATTTGCACGTACGTAATTGTTTCTTAAAATATCAACAGACGCTGCAGTTTTAGATGGAAAAAAGTCATAAAATTGTTAGTCCACATAATTACGAATTATTAAAACATTCCATTAATTTTAAGATTCCTGAATCAAAATAGCACACACAGTTATGCGAGGTCCAGCCATGAACACTATTTTGAACCAAACTAAACTTCACACTCACTACTTTTGTGGATCAGCACCTCAGAACTGGTAGCAAAATGAGCCAGGCAAATACCCGGGAAAAAACTATTTGCCAGAACAAATTTCGTCAGATCCAATCAAATATACTAATAACCGCAACAAACTCACTTCGAAGCGTCATTGGGATTCCATGCAAAATAGAAGGCTCGTAACTTTTTCTTATATGATGTAAGCTCGCTAAGCAAATATGGATCAGCTAACGCAGATTCTGATATTTTACTCTGCGCCAAGGAACGCCACACCAAGCTATCCTAAAGAATTAAAACTAAAATATGTTCATCACAACGCAAAATAGCTTTAAAGATAATATTGAAAGTACCTCGAAATTCAGAACGTTGAACCAATGGCGGCAAACCAGGGTGCAGCTGCGTAGATCTGATAAACCGAGATATTGGAAAATTTGCGAGAGAATATGATGCGGCAGACGCGTGGCAAGCACTGAAACAAACTGTGACATAGCTATTACTCGGAACGCTAATGAAAAAGAAAGAAACTTTCTTCGTTCTGACGGTTATTTGGGAAGGAAATACAGTAGCTTTCAATAACACACTAGTAGAAAATCTAGAAGAACATGGAAAAGTACTATGACCTCCCAAATAACAGAAGCCAACTGAGGAAAAAAACTATGAATAGCAAAATGAGTAATACCTGCAGGAGCCCTTCTAGGAGTTTTAGACGTAGAAGCACCATTTTGGTTCACGTTCTGTCCGATCACATTTTCTGTTAGCATGGTGTGGAATTCTACAACACCTAGAATCCGGATTATAGCACATGTGCACACACCAAACGCGTAACTAATGGACTGAACAAAGTAGACGCGAAAAATTCATCAGACCGCAATATATGGTCTTTGACCGACTCTGAGAAAAAGAACAAAGAACCAGGCAGCGCAAAAAAACTTATCAAAACTGAACAATCCACTGTCAACAAACTACATAACTATATTTCCTGTTACATTTACTGACGAACACATCTATGAACCTCATTTTTAACCTCTCGCCCGATCTTGCCTTTGGTTTTATCCTGCGGCGGATTTCTTCGCATCATCTTCCGAGAATATAATAGAAGGCGATGAAAAGCTGCAAGGTGAAAACTTCATCTCTGCAAAGGATTCGATGACTGAATTAGCTAACCTGAACATTTTAGGGGATAGTATTTCATGAGATTGAGGAGCCGCATTTTGCTCCTCACCTTCCACCTCTGCAGCTTCTATTGAAGGTAGCCAAGTAGGGACAGGTCCTGTCTGGAAATGTCAAAACGAACTACAATTGCAAAAGCAATAATAAAACAAGTACTATGCGAAATCCTAGTTCCTTCTTTCGATCCTTGCTTTACTAGGCAAAATTGTAGCGATCGTATACCAGCTAAATGTATGCTATAAAAAAATTATTACTGGCCGATGTCAGACTTTGCGATTGGAGCGATTTTGCACCAATTGCAGGAGCGACGGATCGCTTGAGCGATGCGAGCGACGGGAGATTTACCCCGCCGAATACCGATACACACGGCGCCGCTCGGGTAAATCTCCCGTCGCTCGCATCGCTTGAGCGATCCGTCGCTCCTGCAATTGGTGCAAAATCGCTCCAATCGCAAAGTCTGACATCGGCCACTCCAATACGCCACCAACCTTGAGCTTCTTGTCCGGTTGTAAACAATCCTTCAAAAGTAACATGCTATCAATGTCACCCGGAACGCTGCCTTTTGACATAAATCGTATAACTTGCTTATTCTAGATTCATTCGAAGGACCTTAAGAGTAAATCGTTAGAAATACTTGGTAAACGAGTCTTTAGCCTAGCACTGAGGAAGACCAACCTCTAGTCCACTTACGGTAACCCATTCATATCCCATATGACCAGGCATTCGCTTACCTGGCCATACACGAGCATCACCGGTAGATCCAACCGAACCGATTCGTCGATGTGATTTTGTAGTACTGAAGAAACATCATCAAACGGTTTAAATTCACTTGGAAAAAGATTACTCACTTTCGAGCTGGTTGCCCTTTCATACCCCATCTGTGCATTCCACCCTGAAATCCCCAATC